GATTAGTGAATCAATCTATGAAAAGAAGTTCGTATTAGGAGTCTTTGTAAACTTGTCAAAAGCGTTCGACACAATAAATCATGAAATCCTACTAAAAAAATTGTAAAAATACGGATTAAAAAACCATACACTGCAGTGGTTTAAAAGTTACCTGTATAACAAACAACAGTGTGTTATTACAGATGATAATTACCACAGTAAATTATTAAAACTTGTTCCTCAAGGTTTGATTCTTGCTCTTCTTTTGTTCCTAATCTCTATAAACGATCTTCCAAAAGTTTCTAGCAAACTTGAATTTGTAATGTTTGCAGACGATACAAATTTATTTTACTCTTTGACAAACATCAAGGATCTGTATGATACATAGAATGTAAACATAGAACTCCAAAAATTAAAAACCAACAAAGAAACACACTACCAAATATTCTACCCTCTCTAAAAATATAAAATAATATTTTCTATTCTCAATTACTATATTATAGTAATTGAGAGAACTAACGAAACTAAATTTTTAGGAGTTATAATTAATGAAAATTTATCTTGGAAAACTCACATAAATGCTTTAAACACTAAAATATCAAAAAACTTAGGTCTACTTTATAAAGCAAAACCTCATATATGCGAATATAGCTTGGGCGAGTACGCATATAACCAAATTGAAAACTTTATATCGACGTCAGAAACATGCTGTAAGACTAATCTACCATAAAGATAAATTTACACACACTAAACCTTTATTTAAAGAAATGAATGTGCTTAATATTTATCAAATTAATATTTACCAAATTATATTGTTTATGCTAAAATTGAAATTAGGTCAAGTACCAAACTATTTTTTAAATAACTTTTTTATAAATAACGTTAATAAATATAACACAAGAGAAAAAGGAAACTTTATTACACCTTTCAAAAAAACAAAACTTTCCCAGTTCTCAATTTCATATCGGGGTCCTTATTTATACAACAAACTAGTAACTAAAAATAAATCAATTTGCAATCTAGATTCAATTTGCAATCAAAATTCATGAAAAAAAAGTTAAAAAATCTGATACTGAATCTTAACTATATATAGTTTAGATTCAGTTATTATTATTATAGATACTCAGAATTATTATTATTATAGATACTCAGAATTCTTCTAAGACTATAAATTAAAATACATATATATCAACTACAAAGTGAACTGACTCGTTTATGTGTATTATCTAAATGACTCTTACCTTTCTCAAAAAATATATCAAAAATTGTTTATTACACACAAAAAAAACACTTGATTCTTTTATTATCAATTTTAGTTATTATGCTGCTTGTTATGTCTAATATTTTATACTGAGCTTATTTTGAGTTTATTTTTTATTATGAGCTTAATTTAAAGAATATAAAAATATAGTTGTACTTAATATATAATTATATTTAACATAATCATAATATATATCAAACACATTGTAAGGGCTTCGTGATAAGATCAATACGATTTTCTTGAAGTCCGGCCTGTACTGTTTAATTATAAATTTTACTATATATTTTGACTCACGAGACTTGTAAAATATTACAACTTTTAATTTACGAAACTTGTAAATGTTAAATGTACGGCAAATATATGAATAAAAAAAAATAATAAAAAATTAAGGCTAACGGCTACTTGGGCTTAAAGTTGACAAAATTAAGAGCACAAAAACAATTAAATTTAAATTTATTTTTTAATTTAAAAAAAAAAAAAAAAAAATTAAAGTTTAATTAGTTTTCTTGATTTTTTTTTTAATAATATATATATTTTATTATTATTATTATAATTTAATTTTATTTAATTATTATTGTTATTTTTTTTATCGAGTAAGCAGAATGCACATACATCGATTAATTAAATAGGTAGAACATGCAGGTAATGTAGATTCAACGACTGGCTCAAATGGGTATGGCATACGAGGAGTATAAAAAATAGAACTTTTAAGTGTTTGAAAAAGCGATGATTGACGCTTGGGAACAAAAAAATCCCATCATTTTTGCACCCCTACCTCAAACTTCAGAGCGACAAGTTGATAAAATACTTTTTTGTTTCATATTCTCTACAAAATCAATATTCATCGATAAATTATTCCATATTTTCTCAGCGTTCAAAAATTATGACCGTATAAAGTTTAACTTCCCTCCCCTCAAAAAATTCAAAATAAAACAAAAAATATAAACGAACCATGGAAGTATAAAACAGATGGAAGTATAAAACAGTTCAACCGCATGCAAGTATAAAACAGTTCAACCGCATGCAAGTATAAAACAGTTCAACCGCATGCAAGTATAAAACAGTTCAACCGCATGCAAGTATAAAACAGTTCAAACGCATTAAAGTTCTTCGTGAAACCTTTTGTTTCGTAAACAATTAGAAAACGACATCAAGACTGTACTCTTAATCTTTATACGTTGACGCAAATAGGTACGTTTATAATAATTTAAAAATATAATATTTTCAAGGTTCGCCAATAATATTCAAGAAAAACTTAAAAAATGGCGCAACAAAATGGCAAACAACAACTTTTTTATAAACTTCATACTTAGTGAATGGAGAACTACAAAAATTAACGGAATTGTGATATACATCTAATGAAACTTTAAACTTTAGTTATTTAGAAAACAATTTTTTTTTATTTTTAAAAAATTGTTATTATTACCTTTTTGATCAAATGTCGTGTTATGACTTGAAAAGAAAAGAAAAAGCAAGAAAAGAAGCTTAAACTAACGTATGCTTTTAAAATCACGAAGTTCTATTTAATTATCGAGTTTTAATAAACCTTTTGCTGAATAATTGCAATTATTAATGGTTAAAACTTTGCAGCATATCCCTAGAATAATTCATTTTTTGATGTTTTAATAAAAACTATTTCAGTGAATTTTGTTGCTTTTTTGTCCAGTGAAACTTGTTTTTTTTTAATTGTCGGTTTCAAGCATACTCCCGAGACGACTTGAAAATGCTTTGATGTTTGCGGCTCGATAAACTTCCATCTGTTTTATACTTCCATGATAACCGGCGCCGTGATCCGCCGTGATCCCGTGATTATATGATGGGGCCTTGATTTTTTTTTTTTTTTACTTACAAGCAAATAAATACTAAATACAAGCATTAAAAAAAATGTTGATTTTAACATGTTATTAAAAAAAAACAAACACAACTTTAGAATCATTACTTATTAGTGGGGTATGTCCCATATTAGACAGTTAACTGCTAAACTTTTTATAACCCCTCTGAGCTTTAGTAATATTAAATTTTCCTCACTAATCCTCATTACGCTATTTTGGTTTACGTCCAATTCAAAAATTAACGAAGGATAAGGAATTTCTAAGACATTAAATACGGTATTTTAGCTTGCGTTTAAATCAATAACAACAAAAGACAAAAATTCCAAAGATATTTAAAAGAAATCGGCATGGGATAAGATAAATTGGTCAATAAACTATATAACACAAAATGTTAGCAATAATATAATTGAATAAATATTTTATTTATCAAATACATATTTATTGTTATTTGCTTTTTCTCATATGGTTTTGATTTTATGAGGACCAAGCCGTTTCAAGTGTTTGATGCATATTCTACTTAGATCAATTAAAATTTAAATTATTGTGTGTATGGTAAAAAACTTGCAAAATAGAATACAAATTTCTATTTTAAACGCTTATCAATTAGCAACTTCATTGAAATAAGTAAAGTTGTTGTATTTTTTAAATTGTAAATATTTGCGAACAATCGAATTTTAACATGACTTTGATGATAAATCTAGTAATTAGTCAACAAATCTTTAGAATAATATATTATTTGTACTGAAGTGTTATTTTTTCATAAGATAGATGAACAAAAAAAAGCTTTTAATTTGAAATAGCCTGTTAAGATATTTTTTAATTATCAACTCATAATTGTACTTAAAAAAGTTTTTCAAGTACTATATACTGTTTTACCTGGTTCGCATGCAAAAGCAATTTTCTATTATACAAAACAATGCATCCATGAACATTATACAACAAACCCATGTAAATAAGCATGCAAATTCATAATCCATGAATTTATATGCCCCTATATAAATATATATATATATATATATATATATATATATATATATATATATATATATATATATATATATATATATATATATACATACATATATATATATATATATATATATATATATATATATATATATATATATATATATATATATATATATATATATCTATATATATATATATATATATATATATATATATATCTATATATATATATATATATATATATATATATATATATATATATATATATGTATATATATATATATATATATATATATATATATATATATATATATATATACATATATATAATATATAATATATATTATATATATATATATATATATATATATATATATATATATATATATATATATACACATATATATGTAAATAAAAATATATACATATATAAGTGTATATATATATATATATATATATATATATATATATATATATATATATATATATATATATATATATACACACTTATATATATATATATACACTTATATATATATATATATATATATATATATATATATATATATATATATATATATATATATATATATATATATATATATATATATATATATTTATATATATTTATATATATATATATTTATATATATTTATATATGTATATATTTTTATTTACATATATATGTATATATATATATTATATATTGTATATATGTATATATATATATATATATATATATATATATATATATATATATATCTTTATATATCTTCATATATATATATTATATATATATGAATATATAATTTTATAGATAAATGTATAAATTCATCTAAATAAATAAATATATATATATATATATATATATATATATATATATATAAAATATATATATATATATATATATATATATATATATATATATATATATATATATATATATATATATATATATATTATATACATATATAGAATAGTCAGCTCAAATGATTCTTTAACCAATAATGAGTTCTTCTGGAACATCAAGTGATAATTTAAGACGTTATATAGAGGGATGGCTTGAACATAAAGAGAAGCGTAAAGTAATTTGTATTATATTTTTCTTAATTTTTTTTAAAATTGAAATTTCTTAATTTTTTTTTTAAACATTTTACACTTTTATATATTGCAAACATTTGTAAATTATTTTCAGTAAAATATTGAGTTTTTATTAATAAATAAACCAATATTTTGGTAATATTTTTGATTTTAGTTTTATGCAAATAGTTTTATGCAATTTTGTAACTATATGCAAAAAGTAGTGTATCAAATATTTAGTAAATAGATTGCAGAAACATAATGGTTATCTTTCATATTACAGTTCAAATATTAATACTCTGTGGTTGGTATATTTTTTTTACAAAAAAATTTGTTATGCCAGATTAAAAAAAAGAAACATACTATAAAATCATGAATGTCAAAAAGTATTTCGAATTTAAAAGTTGCAAAACAATTATTTATTCCTAGTTTTTAGTTTATGAAAGGTTCCTGGAGTAGTTGAGTCTCCACTTCTCAGGTACTCCAGGCTTCAAAAAAATAAGTTTTTTATAAAGTTTCTTATAAACAAATAAAATGAATGTGTTTCTTATAAACAATCGTTTGAAGTAATTTGTTATTATTTAAAAACGTTTCACACAATATATAAAAATATTTAAAAGTTGTTATGAAATGTCAAGTTATTATCATAAAAGTAATCATATATTACTAGTGATGGTGCCCATTGTTTCTGCATAACTGTTATTGTCCTTTTCTTGCTTATGATTGACAATGCCTTAAGCAATTTATATACTGATTTATTAGTCTTGCCTGTTATATGCGAATATCTTTTGCCAATACCCCTATGTTTTTAATGGGCAAAATTTGTGAGCAGTTTGATGGATTGAGCTTTTCTGGTACAAAATTGACCATTCTCAATATAAACCTCTCCAAAGTTTTATTGGCAATAATAATATTATGCAGTAAATACACCTACTCAATTTTAAAACTCCTTTAAAATATCCTTTCAAACTAATGGTAATGCATTCAAAAGGAGTTATACTACAAACTCTTCTTTGAAATAAAAAATTTTGAATATAAAAAGTTTTGAAAATTTGTGTTTGGCCAAAAGTTATTGAATGGGGTTCTTATTCAATTTTGTTTATCTTTATTTTAATTATTCAAAATAAAATATTTAGAAATATTTTTATAGAACATCATTTATTTCTTTATGTGTATGTTAAAAAAAATTCAAATATTAAGAAAAACAGAGTTTTTTTCTAGATTTAGTTGGTTTACTGGTAATAAAGTTTTGTAAACCAATAGACTCTAGTACAAATATTTTCAAATAAAAAAGGGCCATAAAAAATAGTTTACTACGGAAATGCAAGATATATATTGCAAATATTATAGCAGTAGATGTGTCTGAAATAAAATAATATTTCTCTTAATAATATATTTTTTGTACTTACTAGTAAAAGAACTGATTAGTTGTGCTACATATGTGGAGCATACAAAACTATAAATTTAAATTTTAATCTTTGATTAAATATTTCTGCTAATTGGCTATGATTAGTTTAATGATTTTTTTATGTTACAAACAACATGATGAAAAAAAAAACTTTAATTTTTAAAATTTTCAATAACTTCATAAAAATAAATGATAATCTTTAATGTTACATGTGTGACAAATTTTGTTATGTGTGTGACACTGTACAAACTTTTAATAGTTTAGTAAATTTGAAACAATTTTTTTTAAATTTTTTTAACATAACTAAAATAATGATTAAACTGAGTAGCACTTTTGTTATATAGTTTTTTTAAAGTTTCAACTTTTTAAGCTTTATTTTATCAAGGTACATAGTTTCATTGTTCTTTACAAGGCACCAATCATTAAAAGCTATTTCTGGAGATTAGGAATATATTTTAGGAGCTAGCATGTGATTCATATAGTTAAAAATCAGATGACTTTGAGCCACTTGTTTTGAAAAATGACTTGCATTAATTGAAAGCATTGGTATGTTGAGTTTTTTGTACTCCCTATATTCTTTTGATTTCTAACCAAGGTTTTTTGTTGTCTATTTTACTAATGATTTTATCATTGCTAATAAAGAGAATATTAGTTGTTGTTTTAATGGTTTTAAAACATTAAAAAAATCCATAGGCATTTATACACACACTTTCTCATTCTTGTTCATATATTCCATTTGAACAAGAGACAACTCTTCCTCGAACGCCTTCTACACACATTTTATTTTATTGTTAAGATAATTGGTTAAGTAATTTCATTATAAATTTACTTTTAAATTATTTGAAATCAACGCAAAATCAAAAGTGCTTTCACAACGACACAGCTTATTAAACTTCCAAAGATAAGAGTTATATATTTTTATATTATAAAATAATCAGTGTTTATTATTTAATTATTATTAAGAATAATATATTTGATTTATTTGTAATCTTGATATACCATTGCAGCTTTCATTTTAAGAGCATTTTTTTGAAAAAATATATATTTTTACTGGTAAATTAAATACTATAAATTAAAATAATATATTTTTATTTATAAAAATAAAAGATTATAAAAAAATAAGATAATTATATAATAATAATAATAAAAATAATTAGTTTTCAAACAACAATTCAATAAATATATACACAGATAAGAAAAGTTGCAAAGAGTTATATTGTGTAAACATAAAAACCTATCATGAAATAAAAACAATTATCAATATTAAATTTAATATTAAATTTAGTTATAGTAACACCTATAATTAAAATTACAATTGAACAGTGTTCCTCCACAATGCACTTTATACTTCATTTGGATGTTTGATCTCTCCATAGGCTGATTGAAAAATAGAGTAAACCGCTCTCAAAAAGATTGTCAAAAAATATTTTCCCAGCTTTTTTCTCTTTACATTCTTTCGAATTATTTGGTTGTTCTTTTGTCTACTAATATTTTTTTTTCATTTCATTATTTGAATCCTTTTCTGTGCTGTTCATTTTTGCAGTTTTCATTTTTCACAGATTGTTAATCCTTGTAATTTTTATTGAACAGTAATTCTTTGTCAGCTCTTTGTTTTCCTCTAAAGTTTTTCAATCTCTCAATTCAAGACATTTTTATCTTTATTATATATTAAGCTAAACTTAAAACAGGAAACTGTTAAAACTTACAAAGACCTTAAAATCAATAATTTATAGAATTATTTTATTCATCTTTTCAAGCTAATTCAAACTAAAATGATTTTAAAATATTACTATGGTTGTTTTCTTGTTGAATTTAATTGAAATTGAGAATAATTAAAAAAAAAAAGTAATTTATATCAATATATTATATTAATATTAATAGCATTTATATTCAAAAAAAATATTTAGCATTTATGATTTAGTTCCAATCCTTATCAATTATTTGTTTTCTGATTTTTTAATTATAATGACCTTATATGTGTAATGGCACATATATCATTAATTTTAAATATGCGGTAGTGGTGTAGTGGTAGAGCGCTCGCTTCATAAACGAGTGGTTCCGAGTTCGATCTTCACCACGTCCCTGGTAGTACCGCGCTCAACTCGTTTCTCCGCGCAGCGGCCTTGCTCGTCAAGGTTTGTGTTTCGGAGTTATAGAGTTGAGAGAGGGTTATAACCACAAATAAGTAGCCTCCTCGTCTGTAGTGGCCTTCTCGGCCTTGAGGAGGTGAATTAAAATAAAAAAAAAAAAAAAAAATCTATGTTATGTGTGTGACCAAACTTTTTATAACTTTTATTTGTTATTTTACCACAATATCAAATAAATTTTTTTTTCATTTTGTTTTTTCAATATTTTTTGCTTATAACTAAAAATATTTTCAAAAAAACATTCTAGTTTGCTCGCAACAGGGTGTAAACTAGTCTTGTGGGGTCCCATCAAACGCGGTATTCCCAAACACTCATAAAATTTAAAATTCCCAATTTTAAGGTGAAAAAGTCCCATTTTCCAAATATAGTTTGCCAAATTAAAGTTTAATAATCTAAAATTATTGCAAATTAGTTATTATTAAAAACTAATAGAAAAATAGCATAAGAAATTCTAATTTAATTATTGCGTAAAACTTGAAATAAAATAGACGATGTTGATATAACTGCGTGATTGCATTACTGCAAAAATGTCTCTGGGAAAAAACTTCTTGAGAATTGGGATTTTCCAAACAATTTTAGGGATTTTCTTGGCATTTTGTTTTAAAAATTTATTTCTTAAAATTTGCAAATAATTCTTTGCAATGCGTTCCAACAACACCAAATATTATATAAAAAATTTAGCAAGAAATAAAGTACAATCTAAAAAATAACAAATTTGTTTGTTTTAACATCTGCAAATGCTATTTTTTTACAAGTTTCACCCTTTTGGATGAAAAGTTAAATAATTATTTAACTATACTATTATTTTCAGGATATATATTATTATTATATTATTATTTATTCTATATATTATTTTCAGCCAAAAGAGTGAAACTTGTAAACTTATAAAAAAATAACAGTAACTAAAAGACTTACCGTAATATCCGTAATTGATAAAAGTTTCTAAAGTATCTGACCTAAATGGCTTCTCAATATTTTTGTTGATGAAGCACATTTATTAATTGCAGTGGAGTTTGCAGTAAGACTTAATAAGTTATAACTTTTTTTGTTTGTTTTTTTATACAAACTGAGTTAGGAGATTGCATCAGCTAAAATCTTTTTTTACTATCTACTATCATTTCTTGACTTATCTACTATCATTTTCTTTTAAAAGACTACCTCTGAATTATAAGTTAAATAAAAGAAATATTTTATGATTATAACTAACTGGTACTAGAAATTTATTTAACAAAGAAATTAGATTTCTTTACTTTACTGCTTGCTTTTTTAAAGTGTAAATTAAATATGTTTAATAACAAGAATGTTTTTTTTTATTACAACAAACTGGTGCTAGAAATTTAAAAATAAGAAAGCTAGACTCAATGCTTGCTTGAATTTAAAACGTAAAAGCAAATTAAAATATTTCAATGAATCATAGTCATAAAAATATTTTTTGATTATGAATGAAAAAATAATTATTGGTATTCTTTGTTGCCACAATAGCATGCAATCGCTTGCGATCAATATTCTTTTGTAATTAAACAACATTTGTTGTTGTTTTTGCTCAGACTTTGTATTTGTAACTTTACTTCACTATGTGATTAATGTATATATAAAATTGTTATTAATTATATAATTGAACTCGCAATAAATGTGAAAAATTAAATTTTTGAGCTCGTATTTACTATTTTTAAAACTTTTTTTTTATTTTTCTATTTTTAATACATTTCTTTTAATGACACAATTCATTTCATGATGGTGTAAGGGTTTGTCCATAAAGGACGTCAATCAGAATTAAAATATTAGCTAGAAGTAGAAGATCATTGGCTCCTAGGAAATTTTCATTGGGCATAAATCGCTATATTACTTTAAAAATCGCCCTTTACAGGCTTGGTCGGGATCGCTCTCGAATACTGACCACGGAAATTATATTTAGTTGCGAAAAATTGGCCAGGTTTTTTAGTCGTTTTGAGAACATTTAAGTTTATGTACGAAACAAAAAGTTTTTGTTTTACGGACATACAAGGAAACATAATAAACTTGATCGTTCTCAAAACATCTTTGTGCGAAAGAATAAAAAAAATATTCGTGAACACTAAAAACCCGCCAAATTAACGAAGAAACTAATTCTATTAGTTCGAAAAATACGCTGACTTAGCAAAATAAAGTTTTAGAGTATCCTGTTGAAATGTTTTAGAAATTAGCATATTCACGATTTGTTACGTTTTGAGATTTCTAGTTTTCTTGTTTTAAAAATATATATTATTTGTTTACAAAAATAAATATTTTAAATATATATTAATTTGTCAAAATTTCAAAAGTTTATTATAAATTATAGATTTTATTAGTATATTCTTATTTTTTATTTAAAAAGTATGTATTCTTTATGTAAATGTAATTTTGTGTATCTGTTTTTTATCGTAATGTATCTTTTAAAGCAATTTTTATGATTTAAACAAAGACTTACAAAAATAATTGCGTTTTCAATGAAGTTATAATCGTTATAGTTAATAAAACTAATTATGTAACAAACATATAAGAAGTTTCTGGTTACTAAACACAAACAATGCATACAAAGTAACTCGCATAAGAACAAGCACCGCGCCTGAGGTCACAACAGAACACAAATATATATATAGCAAATAAATAGATATAAAGAAAAGTTTCTATATATTGGTTTACCAACTCTAATTATTTTCGCTTAAGTTGCCATCCTTGAAACTTGTTATACTTTTTTCTGCTTTAAATACTAATTAAAATTAAAAAGCCCACTCACTAAACATCATCAGCGATATTGTGAAACAGTTTCGCTTCCTCGTCATAAAGTATTTTTAACCTTTTTAGTTGATTTCTATCTTGTTAATTTAATTTCTATAGTAATTCAATGATTTAATTATTTCATTTGTTTATCTTACTAAGAAGAATTGCTTCAAATCTGTTAAACTTTTCAAACTACGCGAAACATAAAATAGGTATTGAAAAAATTAGCTTTTTTATTTATAAAATAATTTAGCTTGAATAAAATTAAAACTTGCGAATTTTGCTAAATAAAGAGCATTTGTTTCTTTTTTAAACAATCGCAAGTTGTTACTTTATATAAAAAACATCGCTTAATTTTATAAAAAAAATTACAAAAAAGCGATGTTTCGAAAATATTTGTTCTAAACGTAATTTATTTAGCTTTAAGTTTTTTCGTGTCTAAAGATATTTTATTTGCCTAATTTTTTTTTTTGTAAATGTTTCTCATTGGTCCAATTAATCTTTTGCGCTTTTTTTTTTGCTTTTTAAAATGTTCTCAAAACGACAAAAAATCTGGCCAGCTTTTCGTAACTAAATATTATTTACGTGGTCAGCAATCGAGAGCGATCGCTCCGGCTTCCCAACCAAGCCTGCCTTTAATGCCCACCAGTAAAAATATATATATTTTTAAAATAATACTCTTAAAATGAAAACTGCAACGGTATATCAAGATTACATATAAATCAAATATATTATTCCTAATAATAATTAAATAATAAACACTAATTATTTTATAATATAAAAATATATAATTCTTAGTATATCTTTGGAATTCAGAGTTTAATATGCCGTGTCGTTGTGAAAGCACTTTTAATTTTGCGTTGATTTCATATTCATCCTCAATAAATGTTACAAATGGTATTTTGTTTGACTTTTGCTGTCTAGTCGAAGTATGCAGCGCCAAAGTGGAGTTGAAGAAGAAAGAATATAAGAAAAGGACCCCATGCATTCCTGGAACACATTTTAATCTCAGGGGAGGAGAGCGGATGATTGGGAAATATTTTGACAAATTCCCAAATATTGTCAAAATGCTGTATCAAATTTATTCCTTGTTAACACCCTGCACAAATAAAATTTTTTCATTGTTTTTTGTTATGTGTGTGACATCACAAAAAGGTATATACTGAACTTTAATATATATTAATAACATATTTAAGAAGTATTTTTTAATCATTTCATTAGAAAGTCAAGTTTAAAAAAAAATTTAAACAATTCTTTGTAAAAAATAGAAGCAAAAAAATAAAGCAATTAAATCATTCCATTGCAACAGGAAACTTATTCATAATTTAAAGTATTTAAAAAAAAATCTTATTAAAGATTTTTAGAAAGAATTGGAAAAATAGTTTCCAATGTTTAAATATATCATAAAAAATACATGCCTTCGAAAAAAAATTTACATTTTTAATTTACACAAAATGTGTTTTTTTTTAAACAATCATTATAATTAATTTTTTATTTTATTTAAAGTCTTGGTGTAAAATAAAAGCGTTAAAAAAGCAATTTGTTGTTTATTTTTTTTACATTTTAATTGTTAAAACATTGGCCAAATTGTAAAAAAAAACATTAGCGTGGTCAGTTACAGAGTGCGATTTCACGTCATTTCTGTCTAAGCCTGATAATATGTTTAAATTTTTTTTATAATAAATTTTTTTTTGTTTAAATTATATTAAAATATTTATGAAAGTGCTTTTATGTAATTACATTTTATGTAATAGCAATATTAAATATTTATTTATTATGATAAATGGAAAATAGCATACTGTCATAAAAAATTGAAAAATTTTAAATTTTAGTAACTGAAGAATTTAATATCAATATTTTTCAAAAACTTCTAAATGTAAATTTTGTTAGTTTATTGTAAAAATATGCAAAAAATATAAAATATAAAAATATGTAAAAAAAGTGTGTTTGAAAATTAGCTCTCTGGTTTCACTAATTTGAGCGTTGCCCCTATTATATAATTGATAATTTTTGATTATTTTTCTTCACTTCCTTCTTTATATGAAATTAAAGCGTTTTCTTGTTATTTTAAAAAATTAAGGTTTGTAAAGAATATTAAAAATTAAAAAGTTAAAAAATGTAAGTGTTTAAAAAATATATTTTATATATTGTTAATGTGTAAATTTTTAATATAAAATATAGACAGTTATTTTTTCAAGAAATAATTTTTTTGGTTTGATAATTCATATAATTTTAATTTATAGTACCTTCAACATTGGTTTGTTTTAAAAGGAAAGCTTAATTCCAGTGCCCAATTAGAGAAGGCGTATTTATTTTGTTTTAAAAGTAAAGACACCAAAGATAAAAGTCAGGTAAAAATATTTTAAGTTTTTTTGATTTTTAAGTCAGTCAATTTTGCTATATTGGAATTATATTGTTATATTTGTTACCCAAAATTATTATATTAGTTTCAGGTAGAAAAACCATTGCTGTTAAGCTATGAACAAAATTTAAATTTTGCTGCACTTCGAATAAAAGTTTCTCTATATAGTGAACCTAACAATAGTAAATTTTGTAAGTTTTTACTTGAGTTATGATTTAGTTAAAGGTTTGATTTTTTCAAACCTTTAACTAAATTATAACTAATTCAAGAATTTAAACTTGGTTTAAATTCTTGAATTAACTTTAAAATAGCATAAAAAAAGCATTTATAATAAAAGGAGCCAATGCAAATGAAAGGTGGTAGAGGATGGTACTATTTTTAACTCACGGAACCACTTTAAAAACATAATTTTATTCTCAGCACAAATGAAAAAATAATTAAATATTTTTAAAATTTATTAGTTTTCTAGACAAATTACTTTGAAAACAAACAAAAAAATCAACCCAGAAATGTCATATAATTTTTTTATAGAAAAACTTTGTAATGTTATTGTTAAAAGTAATTTTTTTTGTGTTGAGCAAAAAAATTTACTTTTAACAATGAATTAAAATGCAATTAATTATTAAAACTTTTTTCTCTATAGGATAGACATTCCTTTGATAAGCTATTGCTTTAAGTTAGTTTCAATAAAGATTGAAAATTAAAGTCTATAAATATATTCAGTGAGCATTAAATAATGCATAACAAAGCTTATTAAATGGTTGTTAATTAGATGCCTTGAGCAAGTTAAATCTCTCTGAAGTGTCATAACTTTGAGCAAGTTAAGTCTCTCCAGAGTGTCTTAACTTTAAAGAAATTAAGTCTCATCAGAGTGTCTTAAGATTTAACCTAGTAACATTGTGTATGTTTCTTGTTTATTCTCTTCAATTGCCTCATTTATTATTTGATTTTAAAAAAATGACTTTAATTTCAAGGGTATTATTAACATAGATTGCTCTGCTTTCCATTCTTGCTGAGTGAGAACATTGCATTTCTGTTGGCAACTTGAATTTTCATAAACTATTAGCTTTCAAGTAATATTTGAAGGCAATGTTTTATTTGGAAAATAAGTTATAACTTATACTACTTATTATTGAGGTAAAAAAAACTAAGTTAATTTAATAATTTACAATCATTTCTCCATGTTTGTACAATTGGAAAGTGTTAAGTTATTTTTTGAAACACAATTTAATTTTTTTCAATTGTGAATACATATCCTAAAGTTTTCTTAAAAACCCAAAATCAGTTTCATTTTTGATGTTGTTGACAAGCATCTTTTTCAAAATGTCCATTAAGTGTCTATTACAATTATTTAAAGTCTTGGGTAACTTAGACCTTAAAATACCATTTATTCTACTAAATTTATTTTAAATGTAAATTCATCTGAGAAATAAATTTTGTAATTATTCATTAAATCTTGCATGATGCATGTAAATTGTAAAAAACAGTATTATTTTTATTTATTAACTTTATTTATTTTATTTATTTTTTTCAATTTTTAAAGTCTTGGGACTTAAAAAATTCTTATTATTCTACTAAATTCATTTTAGATCCACCTTAAATTTTTTAATCATTCATTAAATCTTGCATGATGCATTTAAACTATAGAAAACAGTTTTATTTACTAAAGTATTATTTACTTAATTTAAAGTATTATTTACTAACTCAATTTTTACTAGTTGATAAAACTAGTTTTACCATTTATAAATGTTATTGTGTGGCAACATCATAGTATGAAGTATTTTGTAGCTGTTCTAAATCAATCTAAAATAATGGAAAAATTTTGAGGGATTTCTTAAAATTATGTAAATATTTTGAGCAACCCTAAATATACTTTAATATTGAGTAACCCTAAATCAACTATAAATTTTTACAGAACTTGAAACCTTTAACCAATGCTACAAGTTTATGATAAAGAGACAAGCATTTTGCAATGGATAATCTACTTTATTTTATTACACACTTTGTTTTATTTCTTTACTTTATTACACACTTTGCAATGGATGATCTACTTTATTTTTAGGAGTTTTATAAATCAAGGAGTTGAAACTCTAGGAATTAGGAAACATAAGGTCGGCAATAATTTGATACAAAGATCTTACCATAAAACATAGAAACAAGGTTAAAAATTTTTTGCCGACCTCAAACACTTTTAGTTTGGGATTGCCGAATGCCTACCCTAATTCCGAGGGATGGAGTTATAATATTTCTCTTAAAATAAAGTTTAGCAAATTTTATTAATTTTTATAAATTGCATAAATATTGTTTTGATAATTATTGCGATTATGGTATTATATTTAAAACCACTAAAAACTATTTTTTTTTTTTTTTTGAGATGATCCTGATAGATGGAAAAATTCAAATATTTTTTATTAACTATAACAAATTTAATAAGATTTTGTCCAGTGTGTTGTGTCCTTGACTCCTGACTCCTTATGGTTTTACAGATATCAATGCTTAGTCCCAATCTCTTTTTTGATTATTTTTTTTAGAGCCATTTACTTTATAAGCTAATTACAAAACACAATTAGCTTTAACTCAAGAAACACTTGCTCAATTGTGTTAAAAATTTGTACCTAACTATTTTTGATGGAGAGTAACACAAAAATGATACCTAAAACACTAAAAAATTAAAGCTTTTTTATGGAAATTCAATTTCAAAATGTTGTAATACTTTTTTATGTTTGCATTTCACAAAGATTTTCACTTTATACAAACTTTATGTTTAATGAAGGATTTTCTACTTACGAATCTTCAAATAACTATTTTAAAAATATTTTTTACAGAACTAAAAAGTAAAATAAAAACATTTATAGTAAAGAAAGATGTTCAATTGGAAAAATATGCACCATATAATTAGTAACACTAAATTTTTTTTCTATACATTTGTTAAACCAAGGTATCGAACTAGTAATAATTAAATTTTCTGATTCCATTTGAAAAATAACATTTTTTTTTTAATTTTTGCTACAAGTATATTCATATCATTTGCTTTACATTTAACTTCCTTAGACAATTTATTAAAGGAATTTTCTTAGCTTAACTGATCAGAATCTTTATTTAAAGTCCTTGCAATATCTAACTTTACCGTTTTTTGAACATGTAATGATTTCTTTTTACGGAGAGCATCTCTTGTGTGACTATTCACATGCATATGAATAACAACTATGAACTTATATTCATAGTCGTTATTCACATGCATGTGAAAAATGTCTATGAACTTATGTGCATAACCTTCAAAGAAGAATTAAGATTTTCATTTAACATTTCATTTAAAGTAAGTTCATTATTTTCATCTTCATAAATATTGCTTCAAGTTGGTTCTTCTGGTCCATCATCTCTAAATGGCATCAATTTAATTATACATTATGGACATATCTTTTCTTTATTATACAATTTCTTTATTTATTTATCCAATTGAACATCATTCTTTATCATCAATATTTTTATATTATTTTTTAGTTCT